TGAAAGCTCTGTTCAGTCTGGTAACAAAATGTTGTTGCTCTTCCTGTCGGAGGGTGGAGAGGAACACGTTCTCTTGACAGTGACTTCAGGGTATAGCAGGAGTCCTAAAGCAGAAACATGGGATCTTAGTTTATCTATAAAATGAAAAGTTTAGCACACATGAGGTCCTTCCCACTTGGAGATTTGGCAAGCTTGTGAATGAAGCCTGTTGGGTGGTTGTCTTCATGGTGCCTTATGGTAGGACCTGGAGGTCTTTCAGAGGCAGTTTTTCACGATGTAGACATCCTGGGTCTTGATGTTGCTTGGAGAGTGCTTGGGGGAAGATCCTTCTGTCATGGCTGATGAACTGGACTGTTTTTTTTTTTTTTTTTTTTTTTTTTTTTTTTTTTTAAAAAAAAGCTCCCTGTAGCCCAAGCTGTCCTGGATTCACTATGGGGACCAGCCAGGCTGGCCTCGAACTCACAGAGATCCACCTGCCTCTGCCTCCCGAGTGCTGGGATTAAAGGCATGTGCCACCAACGTCTGTCTGGACTGTTTTTTTTTAAAGAGGCTTTTCTTTCTCAAAGCTGAGACAACTTTGGGCAAAACTCACATGTGCATTGCCTGTTAGACCAGTGGTAAGTGCATGACTTATGCTGGTTCTAGGTATATTTCCAGAACCTGGAAGCACATAGTATTTCCTCTCCCTTTTAGGAGCCCATTGATGTGTGTCTTTGTTCTTGGCCCTGGAAGATCAGATTAGGGGGAGCCTGGATGACAAGCAGGAGGACCAGGGTTGAATCCCCAGCACCCACACAAAAAACTGGATGTGGCCACACATGCCTGTAACCCCAGCCCTGGAGATGGGGGTGAAGACAGGAGGATGGCTGGGGTTTACCAACTGCTAACCTAGCTCAAGGTTCATTGAGAGACCCTGTTTCAAGAGAATAGGGCAGAGAGTGGTAGAGACCACTGGCATCCATATAGGAATGCATAGGCATGTGTACCTCCTTCCAACACACACACACACACACACACACACACACACACACAGATGCACACACACATGCACGCGCGCACACACGGAAGATCTATGCACAAAGCTATGGGTTCGATCCCTAGCATTAGCAGGAAAAAGTACTCCCTGGTTGGTAGAACTGAGAGATGTTGTCAGAAAAACTACTTTGGAAAATAGACAATCCAGGTAACTCACAGAGAACAATATATATTTTTAAACACTGAGCTTAAAGCTGCAAGAAAATGCTAATTGCTTTTCACCTATTAGTGCTACTCTTAAGAATTAATTCTAAGGAAATAGTTCTGAAAAGGAAAAGAGAGCTATTGGCAAAAAAGGTATTTGTGGCAATCTTGTTTAATATAGCAGGAAAACTGTTAACTGCCTCAGGGTTCTATGTGGCTAAATAATTCATGGTACTTGGACTCTAGAGAGTATCATACATTAATATAAAGATAATGCTAATTTATGGAACAATGTTGATGAATTTTTATGAAAAGAAGTAAAGCACGAAACTGTGCATGCAGTGGATGAATGTATAACAGCTTGAGTGTCTTGGCCATAGTATAAATTGGCATAATGTAAACACTGGATTTAGGTGAATAGGTTATGCTTGAAGTATTTGTATATTTTATATAAAGTATCTATACTTTTTAAAAGACTAGGCCTCAACATCAAAGACTTTGGAAATGGGTGGGAAGGAGGCCAGGGAGGGAATCCAAGCCTCCCATCTGTTACCACCAGGAAGACTCAACTGCTCTGTCTTATCAGTCACTGTTGCTGCATACTGGGGCTGGGGAATTCAGATTGGCTTTACTGCACTACCTGGCTAGCCATATAACCTCAGGGTTCACAGTATAAGGACTCTGTCTTCTGTGCGGTTGCTGCAACCTCGGGTGGCTCAGAGCCTCAGAAGGTTGTTCACACCTGAGTTTCCAAGGAACCAGCCAGCAGGGTGAGCATGTAGCCCTTGAGGCTCTGAGCCACCCACTCAGTACCTGCGGGCCCTACCCACAAGGGGAGGGAGTCATTTGTCTCTTCTGCAGTTCCTAACTGGCAGCAGGAGGATGTGCTTTGCAAGCTGACCTCCACAGCCCAGCCTCACCCAGGTGGGGCCCTAGTGAGGTAGTGTCTTGGGTGTGTCTACTGTTGCACATATTTTAGTATTGAACTTAAGAGTTGTTCTTTAGTGCTGGCCATATAAAGCCCCCACCTTCATCCAGTCCACCTTTGGCTTATCAAACAAGCAGTACTGTCCATGAGCTCTGCCCAGACTTGCAGTTGTGTTGAAGCTGAGTAGTCAGCATTTCTGAACTTCTGGGGCCTGGTAAATAGTCCACCACTCTTCGTATATTACACCCTTCTGTGGCCTTTTCTTCAAAGTGGGGAACTTTCTTGACATATGGAAAGTCTGTTTAGCAACCCTTTGCTATGCCCGGGAGTTGCTGCCCAGGAGTATGACCCCAGCAGGAAATGGAAACTCATTGGCAGTGTTTGGAGTCTTGGGGTAGGTGGGGCTAGAGAACTCTGGGTGTATCTTGGGTGGACAGGTTGGAGCTTGTTTAAACAAGGACCAATGTAACAGAACATGGAGATAGGTTTGGATATGTCCTGACCTATCTGGGATCCCGTTTTCTCCAGCACATGTCTGCTAAAACCAAATTCCAGACTGTCAGAGATCTGGAGTTTTTTGTTTTGTGACCAGACTGAAATAGGACCTTGTGTCTAGAGATTGGCCAGGGTCAAAGAGGAATTGGAAAAAGAATGTGGGTTCAGGGCTTGCCAGGGTGCTCATGAGGGGTACCCAAGACAGTTTCACGTCTTCTAGGACAAACAATGCTCATGTGTGTATCTGGAGTCAGGGATGCAGGCTATTACACCTCCCTTGAATATTGTGTTCATTCTTAGGTGCTCTGGCTCCACCTTTGCCCTCCAGTGACAGTGAGATCAGTTCTGATCATTGTTGGTGACTGAATATTAATTGCCACAGAGTTAAAGTAGCAGGTCATCTTCCTGAGCTCAGGACTAGCCCCTCTCAGTTCCTTAATTTAGAGACCATGTGGGTACCCCAGGGTTGTCAGCTGCTCAGTTTTTTGAAGCTTGAAACACATTTCCATAGAAACAATGCTATAAATGGTTTCTAGGTTCCTAAGGCTAGCCCACAAAGAACCCTGGTATCATCTCAGAAGCTGCTGAAATTAAGTATTAGTAAAATTGAGAGCACGCATGCAGCAGTTAAGCATTCACACACAGGACGTTGGAGGTTAAATGGTGTGGGTTTCTTTGGGTAACTTGATTTCTTCTGTGAGCATCTTTTGAAGTCCTTCAGATAGGGACGTTTAGGGTCCTTCTGCCCATAGTCATAACCTTTCCTCTCTGTTTGCATTCTTTCTCTCATCCTCATCCAGATGCCAGGGGCTTGAGCCTATCTGCCCCCTGGGACCCTGGCCTGGGGTACTGTATGATGAGGAAATCCTATTCAGTGGCTCCTATATCATGGTCTGGATCATTATCAGTCCTTGTTATTTAAACGAGCTTCATCAACTTGACAGAACAAACATTATAGTGCAACAATTTACACTGGTTAGACTTCTCACTTGATTGTTTCTAATGATCCTGTGGAAGTTTTAACGTTTGCAAGTTGGCCTCTAAACAGTTCCTTGGGCTAGTTCTGTCACTTTATATGGTTGCATCAGATTTCATCAGTTTTATCAGATTGGTCCATGTGTTGGGCCCATTCCCATGTCATTCTGTTGTTATTTTGGATTGTCTTCATGGGAGATTGTCTCCCAACCATAATTACCTGGTTAGAGCCTTAGACTTTTTCAACACAATGCCAGATCACATTCTAGAAGGATTTAAGCAGCTTAGGGTAGTGCAGGAATGGATGTGTAGCTGTTCTTCCAAAACCCTCTCAACAGCAGCTTTCTTGTCTTATTTACTTATTTTCAAGTTGACTAGGCACTAATGGGGCCCTAATGGTGTTCTAATTTACATATCCTAAAATTGCTGCTGAGACTACATTTTTTCCTCCTGATGATTTGCTGTTTGTGTTTCCTCATGTGTCAAACCCTGCTCATCTCCTGCAACTGCTGGAAAACCTCCTGCTAATGTGTCTCTGAGAACCACTTTCCTCTTGGGAAACACAAGTCTTCCTCCCTCCCTGCCTGGGTGGGGCCTACTCTTCAACCTTGTCTGATTCATTTTCATACTTGGAAGGTTGACTACCCCAGTGACTCTGGCCTTCAGCCTTCTGAATTCTGGGGTACAAGGGACAGGCTCTAGGAGAGCCCTGGGATAGAGGCTAAAGGGCAGGAGGTTAAAGGGAGTCAGAGGCTTTCTGAGGAGCTCCTGAAGGAAGTTTATAAAGTGACCACCTTGGAGGGTGGTTGCCCAGAAGTGCCTGGGGAGAAGCCTCAGGCTGTAAGGTCTCTGGAGTTCATTTGGTGTAGGGGTCATGCACTCAACACACACTCAGAGGCCAGCAGGGAACTGGGAGAATGAAATGACAGGCTGGCACAGTGTGATGATAAATGAAAGTAAGCCTTGGCCTAGGAAGGAGTAGGACCAGCAGAAAATGGGAATGTGTGAGCCAGAGCCGAGTGCCACTCCTCCTGCTGTGCCGTTCAGCCCCTCCTCCCAGGTGGAACGCTCCCAGATGTGGCCAATGCACCCAACTTGTGTTTTTAATTTTTTTGTTTTTGTTTTTCCATGACAAACCAGAAATATTAATTTTCAGTTTGAAACTCCTGATTACAAAAAAAGGGTCAGCAGTAAAGTCAGTTAGAATAAAACATAATATATGGGTCAGATAAACTATCCCTATGAGGGAGGAAGAATGGTTTACCAGGCTCCATGAATTTTGATTTTATCCAGTTTCCTTATTTGGGAAACACAGGCTCTGAGAGTATCCATCCTCTATGATATGGCGGAGAGAAGGAATCAGAGTCCAAGATCAAATTCCATCTGTATGACCTTGGGACAGCTGCTTCACCTTCATGAACCTCAGCTTCCTTATCTATAAAATGAGGATAATGCCTTCCTCTCAGGGTGCTGGGTGAAACCATAGGTTTTCTCTTGTCAGGCATACCCTAGAGGCTTGATTGTGTTAGGCTGGTCCTGTGTACGGTCATCTGGAAAATCAGAGGAAGAATCAGGCATAGAACTTTGCTCACATGATTTTTAGTTCATAGGCTATTCCACATCCTCTATCCTTGCTTTCATGGGGCATTTCTGTAGGTATCTAGACATAGGAGTCCTTCTTTTATGAAAATTATAGGTTACTTATGAGAGCTTAAGTGCTAAACTGCTACTGAGCTCAGATAATGGGGCCTCACAGCACAGTGGACTTTGTGTTGTAGGCTCTAGGACCCAGGAGACCACATATCAGTTCTAATAATACCATACACCACTGAACCCAAGGAGTCACTGATTCTAATAGATACCTTTATTTTATGTCAAGTTAAAAAAGAGAAAATGGGGCTGGAGAGATCACTCAGTACTTAAGAGTGCATACTGCTCTTGCAGAGGACCTGAGTTCAGTTCTCAGTCCTTCTATCAGGTGGCTCAAAACCAACTGTTAACTCCAGCTCCAGTGATCCAACACCCTCCTCTGAATTCTGCAGGTACCTGCACTCTTATGCACCTACCCACAAACAGACACATATATAAACATGATTTTTTTTATTTTTATTTTTTGGTCTTTTGAGACAGGGTCTCCCTGTAGCCCCAGCTGTCCTGGAACTCACTATGTAGACCAGGCTGGCCTTAAACTCACAGAGATCCACCTGCCTCTGCCTCCCGAGTGCTGGGATTAAAGGCGTAGGCCACCACACCTGGCCATAAACATGATTTCTTAAAAAACATAAAAAATAAATCTTTTTAAAAAGAGAGAGAGGGGCTGGAGAGATGGCTCAGTGGTTAGGAGCACTGGCTGTTCTTCCAGAGGACCTGGGTTCGATTCCCAGCAACCAACCACATGGTGGCTGACAACTGTCCATAACTCCAGTTCCAGAGGAATCTGATGCCCTCTTTTGACCTCTGTGGGCCTTGCAGGACACAGGTGCACTTATATACATGAGGCAATACACTCATACACATAAAATAAAAATAATAAATATAAGAGAAAGAGAACTGGTAACTAAATCACACATACAGGCCTATAGGCTCAGTATCGAAGGCTGAGTCAGGAAGATGGCTTGAACCCAGGAGTTTGAAGCCAGTTTGGGCAATATAGTAAGATCCTATCTCATGCATAAAAACCAAAATCCATAAACCAAACCACCATAACAAATACATGTTATCCATTGTAAGAAGCATCTTGATTCCAGATGTGCTAAAATGGGGAGGGGTGTACGTCTTAGAATCAATGTAACACTGTAACAATGAAAATAGAAACAATGTTCTAGTAATTGATTACTTTATTTACTTACTTTTTTTTTTTTTTTTCTGAGACAGGGTCTCCCTGTAGCCCCAGCAGGCCTGGAACTTGTTATGTAAACCAGGCTGGCCAGAGATCTCACCCATTTCACAGAGATCTGCCTGTCTCTGCCTCCTGAGATTAAAGGTGTGCACCACCACTCCTATTTATTTATTTATTTATTTAATTTTTGTCTTTTTGAGACAGGGTCTCCCTGTAACTCCAGCTGTCCTAGAACTCACGATGTGGACCAGGCTGGCCTTGAACTCAGAGACCTGCCTGCCTCTGCTGGGATTAAAGGCGTGCGCCACCACGCTCAGCCTGATTTATTTTTTTAAAGATTTATTTATTTGGTGGGGGCTAGAGAAATGACTCTGGTTAAGAGCACTGGCTGCTCTTGCAGAGGACCCACGTTTGGTTTCCAGCATCCATATGGTGGCCAACAACTGTCTGGAACTCCAATTCCAGGGAATCCGACACCTACTTCTGGCTTCTGTGGGCACTACACACATGATACACTTACCTATATGCAGGAAAACACTCACACATAAAATAAATAACTAAATAAAATAAAAATTAAAAATAGAATTAAAAAAAGGCTTTAAAAAATTTTTATGTGTATGAGTGTTTTGGGTACATGTGTAAGAGTACCACATGTGTGCAGTGCCCACAGAGGCCAGAAGAGGGCATCAGATCCCCTGGAACTGGAGTTATAGGTGGTTGTGAGCCACCATGTTTGTGCTGGGAATGAAACCCAGGTCCTTGGGTCCTCTGAAAGAGCAGTAAATGCTCTTAACTGCTGAGCATCACTCTACCCCCCTAATTGATTACATAAATTTTCCTACATGTGGTTTTATGGATGCATTTATCACAAGTATTTGCTAGCACCCACCATGTGCAGGTACTATGCAGACATCAGGAATACCAAGGTGAGGAAGATCTAGGTTGTGCCCTTGAGGAGCTCTGGTCCTGGGCCATGATGCTCTGACCCCAGAAAGGATCAGTAAGCAGAGAGCATATGTAGACTGTGGAGTAAAGAGGAATGGAGGTGAATGTGTAGGAGTGGAGACCTAGCAGGGGTGTGGGTGCCTGCAGGTTACTGTCGGGAGGAAGAAAAGCAGCAGCTAAATAAGGCAAACACTGTAAACCAAACCACCACAACAAATAAATACATGTTATTCATTGTAAGAAGCATCTTGAGGGGCTGGAGAGATGGCCCGGCAGTTAAGAGCACTGACTACTCTTGCAGAGGACCTGGGTTCAATTCCCAGCACCCACATGGTGGCTATGAACTGTCCTTAACTCCAGTTCCAGGAGAATCTGAAGCCCTCTTCTGACCTCCACGGCATTGCACAACACTGGTGCACTCACATACATGCAGGCAATGCACTCATACACATAAAATAAAAATAATAAATAATATTAATAAATAATAATTTTTTTAAAAAAGCATCTTGATTTCAGATGTGCTAAAATGGGGGGGTACATCTTCGAATCAATGAGACAGTAACAATGAAAGTAGAAACAATGTTCTAATTTTTACTTTTTTTTTTTTTTTTTGAGACAGGGTCTCCTTGTAGCCCCAGCTGGTCTGGTACTTATTATGTAGACCAGGCTGGCCTCAAACTCACAGAGATATGTCTGTGCTAATTTCCTGAACCCACAGGCAATCCTGCAGCACAAATTGCTATACCACACAATCAGTCCCACCAAAGCTCCCTTTGGGGGGGACAGTGGTGACTTTTTAGCCAGCACTCAGCTGCAAGCTTGGTAAAACAGATCCAGGAGGACTCTGACACTATGCATTCATCAGCTTCCCCCTGCTTGGAAGAATGAAGGGAGGTTTCCTGAAAGAGCTGCTATGAGTTCCAGTCTCCTTGGAGACCTGGCCATGGGTTACCTGCAGATGAAAGGAGCAGGAGGAGGAACATAAATGAGGATGAGGGTAAGAAAGCAGGCACCTTGGGGAATCTCAGGTGGTTTGTCTGTTTCAAGTGGAGGATGATGCTGAGGGTGGGAAGTAGGGCAGTGCTGGACGGGTCCAAGAATGTGTCTAACAGTCTGGTTCACAGCCCCAGCTTGATGTAGATGATGAGAGCTGCTGAGGAGGGAGCATCCTGATGGCACTGTGGACCATAACATGTATGGCCAGAAGCAAGAAGTCAGCTTTAAGAGATGAGGAAAATGATAGCCAGCACAAATCAAAGACCTAATATGGGCCAGACATTTAAAAACTCTCTCATCCTCACTCTGCAGATGAGCAAATTAAGTCTTTAAGAAACTTTTTTAAGGGGTTGGAGAGATGGCTCAGCAGTTAAGAGCACTGGCTGCTCTTCCAGAGAACTTAGGTTCAGTTCCCAGCACCCATATGGCAGCTAACTACTCTCTGTAACACCAGTTCCAGGGAATTCAACACTCTCTTAAGGTCTCTGCATCTAAATGAATAAATAATTGATTTTTATTTATTTTTTTTGTCTTTTTTAAGACAGGGTCTCCCTGTAGTCCCAGTTGGTCTGGAACTCACTATGTAGGCCAGGCTGGCCTTGATCTCACAGAGTGCTGGGATTAAAGGTATTCACCACCACGCCTGGCCTAGGGTTTTTTTTTTTTTTTTTAAGAAAGCCGTTTAAGTAATTTTAAGGTCATCAGGTTAGCATAAGCCAAGATTGGGACTCAGGAATTAACCTGTGCTTATAACCTGGACACTCCCATGACTATGAATTTTAGATTCTAGTCCCTGATTTATCAGTATTTATTTTCATTTTAAAGCAAGCCCCACTGTACATACTGGATCTCTGGGGATCCCTATCTTCCTGGCGCACTACCATAATGTAGGGAAGCTGAGTTCCAGCAGACAGCCACAAGGGAATCTGTCCAGAGCCTGTTCTGCAGGGGCTTGGGACTGTTAAGTGAGGTCTCTGGGAAGCTGGCAGCTCTTGTAAAGAAAGGGTGCCTCTGTCCCTTGGCCCTGCTGGCCTGCCCTCCCTGGCAGCCACACCTGTTTTGTCCTTCTCCCTGCACCCAGCCAGACATATTTCCAGGAGTGACAGCAGCAGCTGGGATCATCTACAGAAGCTCCCTCTCAAGCTTGACAAAGGCACTCAGAACCTCACTAGGCCTACAGGGGAGGGGCAGGTGGGAGGGATATAGACAGCTGGGGGCTAGTGTATCAGGCATGGCCATGCCCCCGAACAGGTGAAATAAGTATGACTCAAGAGGAGGGTCCCTGGTATTCAAGAATAAAAGAGAGTGCAAGGACTTCTTAGCCCAACTTAGTGACTGGGGTAGTTTTGTTCTCTCTGCTCCCCAAGAAAGGGCCTGGCAAAGGTATACAGAGAAGACACAGCATCCAAGAGGTGTCCTTATTCAGCCCAGGTTCACAGTATTGTGGAAAGATGTAGTAGAAAGGACACAAAGGGAAGAGGGAGGGGCCAGTTTTGAGGGACTCCTCAGATAGGACACAAAATCGATGAGCCCAGCAGAAAATCATCCTGGAGCCCAAGCTGCTCTCCCGTTCTTGTTCTTCCTGCATCAGCCTCCTGAGTTCTAGGATCATAGGTATCTGCTGCTACTACGATTCCTCCTCCTCCTCTTCCTCCTCTTCCTCTTCTTCCTCCTCTTCCTCTTTTCCCCCTCTTCCTCCTCTCCTCTTCCTCTTCTCCTTCTTTATAACAGCTTTAGTGAAGTATACTCAAGTATCATAAAATTCACCCTTGGAAGATTTTAATGGGTTGCACATGGGTGGTGGCCAGTCAAAGGAGTGCTGGACTACTCTGAGCAGCCACTAGAGTTGGCATGTCTCAGCAATCTCTAATACCTTACTCTACTGTCAGTTGGAATCAGAGTTGGGAAAGTAGTCCAGGATGCTTTGGTTATTTCACAGCAGATGGGAACAGGAGCTCTGTATTCTCTTCCCTGTAGTTTGTGAAGAAGTGGGTGGCAGAAAAAGGGTAAGGTCTCAGGAACACCTTCCTACCCCACAATCTCAAAGGTCACCTACTTGGTTCCCCAGAGACTTGTAGGAGGGGCTAGAGCTTCTAAAACCAAAACTTTTACTTTACAAGTCAGTGATTCTGCACTGTCATATCTGCAGCAAGACTGACCTTTAAGGCTTTCCCAGAAAGGCTGTAGTTTCCTTCATACCTGCCATGTGCTTGTTGGGAGGTAGATTTCTGCCAAGCCAAATTTTGAAGTTTGGTTGAGGTGAAGGAGTTGCTGCTCGAAGTAAGCAGAGGTCCTCCAATGACTTCTGTTTCTTGTGCATCTTGCCACTTACCTCTCCTTCCTGTGCTGCTCTTGGGACAGGCCTTGTAGTCTGTGTGGGAGGGGAGGAAGTCCTGGCAGGACGAGGCTGAACAGTGCCCTTTGGAGTGGCTCCTACTTGTTCCCGTGAGGCTGGGCCCTGGTTCTATGGCTCTTCTAGGAATGTGCTCCCCAGCTGCCCTTTCTAGTTGACTGGGGATGTCCCAGGGCTGGTTTGTATTATCTCTCAGGGGCTCCCTCTGCAGAAGCTGAGTGAGCCCTAAGGAATGTCAGGATGGCTGTAGGCCTAATGAGGAGCATGGCAGTAGTGGGCACTGGAGACTGTGGGTTGCTTTTGTTTTCCTCACTTGGACCAATTGTCAGTAGAGGGGCAGAAACCTGCAAATGGAAAAATAAAAAAGGTTGTTATACCCAGGAGCCCTGAGGGTCTAGCTTATACTTGAGGACTTGTGTGCCTGAGTACCCCAGTCCCTCAATTGCTCACTGCCTTACTCTGTGGGAGATTGAAGGAAGAAAGGTAACAGAGGATTGGCTTGCCCTATGATCTTATGTAAGGTACTTAACCTCTCTCAACCTGTGTTCCCATCCTTTGAGAGGGCTAAAATACTCTCACACACTTGTTTAGTAGCTGTATGGGGAAGTGCTTTAAGGCTTGTCATAGTGGATGCTAAATCAGGGACCCTGGGCTTTTCTTTATAGAAGGCAATTTACAAGCCCTCCTTCATTTACTTTGGACAATCAAAGAATCATGGATCTTAAACTGGAAGAGATTTTAAGAAATCATCTGATGTGCCAGGCTGGGTGTGGTGGCACATGCCTGTAGTCCCAGCACTTGGAAGGCAGGTGATCTCTGAGTTCAAGGCCAGCCTGGTTTACACAGTGAGTTCCAGGCCAGCTGGGGCTACAGGAAGACCCTGTTTCAAAAAGACCAAAAAAGAAGAGAGAGAGAGAAAAAAAAAAAGAAAAATCATCTGGTTTAGTCCCCTGGCATAATTATTGGTATTTTGTAGCAAAGACTATTTTAAGTGATCTTTACTTTGACCTGTCTGTCATAGCATAAGACAATCCTTTTTCCTCAGGGGAAAGGTGATTTCCAGGTGCACACAGGTGGCAGTGAAGCCAGAAAAAAGGTGGAATTGGATGGAAAGTCATGTCTCTTAGGATCTTGCAAGATCTGGGCCATTTACTCTCTACATAAATCAAAGACCCAGGCCCTGCACGCTGGGAGGGTGGGGGTAGGGGTGGTGGGGGTGTGTGAGAATCATATTCTGCTGCCCCTCCACTTCTCCTGAGAAATCAAGGGATGCACCTGACAGTTAGGACCAGTCACAGGGGAAAGTGGCTACCAGAACAGTGTATTCTTCAGTGGTTTTTCCTTCAGAGGAAAATCTTCTGACTCATCTTGAGAAGCAATAACAAAGAAACACCGAAATACACCTGACTTTCCCTCTGCTCTGGAAGACCTCCTGAACTGCAGAAATTGTTTTCCATCATTCACTAAACCGGGGAAAAGAGGCACTAGGGCTTGGACCAGAAAATTATATTAGGGAGGGGACCAGAGATGTGGCATTGAGTCAAAAGGTTCTCAACTCTGGCCTGAGTTGTGAGAATTCAATCCAGGAGCTTTTCATCTCCTAAGTAATGGTCATGTGGGTCCTTTATAGGGACAGAGCTGGTTTCTCAGTAACCTTGGTACCGTTGGCAGGCGGGTGGGTTAGAAAGTGAAACTCGGGAAGGGTGTTAATAAAGCGCCTTGGAGAGGACTGCATAATTTACCGTATCCCAAACCACAGTTTTCTTTGTGGAAGAAAGCGACTTGTGCCCTCTCCACCATCGCGCACACACACTTTCCTGGCAGGCTCGATGAGTTTCCAAACATTTCGTCACTGTCTCCTCCTGACCTTGGTGTGCAAGGAACCAGCCGCGTGGCATGTTGGTTACCGCAAAGCCATCGGGGGCTCAGGTCTGGGCTGGGGGAGGGTGGCCACGGCCTGGAGAGTAGAGGTGAGGTCTGCTGGAAATCCCCAGCCTGGGCAGCCGCATGAGGTTTAAAGACGCCTTCCCGGCCTTATTTGGTCGCAGGAAGTGGGCGGCGCCGGGCCTGCTGGCGGAGAGGCGGCCCCAGACAGTTGTGCTGATGAAGTGGTAGAGCTGGTTCCTCCTCGCCGCGGAGCCGTGCGCGCCGGCCAGTCGCTGGGCGCTCCGCGCTCCCAGCCTCGAGTTGTGCAATCCTTTGTAGCACGCCAGAGTCCTCCTCCTTCGCTGTCGCCTCTCGCCCTCTCTCGCTCTCTCTCTTTTTTTCAAGCTGTGAGCTCAACCGATGAGTCAGAGCCGTGCAATCCTGACACTGCATCGCAGGACTGGGGGTGACACGGAGGGAGGGAGAACACTAGAGCGCTCCGGAGGCGGACTGTAAGGGCACGGGGCGCACCGAGGCGCCTGTGTCGCGAGTGGGGGTGACAGCCCGCACGTCCCGCCCGGGCCCTGTCTGCAAACTTCCCAGCTTCGGGAGGCGCGGGCTGGCGGAAGCCCGGAGAACGCCACGGGGAGGCGACGGCGCCTGTTTGTTTTTAAAATCCGGGAGTGCGTGCAGGCGGCTGGACTCTCGGAGGCGACCCCAGGCGGCGGGCCCACGGTGGAAGGGAGCCTGCTGAGGCCGGAGTAGTGGAGCCAGGTAAGTGGCGTTGCTTAGCAGGCGGCAGAGGCCTGCACGCGGCGCGGCTGGCGAGGAGACCCCGTGCCACCGTGCAAGCCAAGGCCGCTCAACCGGCGGGCTGCAGCCCTGCACGCGCAGGGACGCGGGGCCGCAGCTGACCAACTTCTGCGGCCTGCGGGGCGGCGGGAGTGGGAGCGTGGGCCGCCTCCGCCCGGCCCGCACCCTACCCGCGACCGGCAAGTACCCGGCACCCCGCACCCTGGGCCCGCAGCTGCGTGTGGAGCGCAGCCCCGCCGTGTTCCTGCAGCTACGCAACTCGATCGCGGCCCCCGCCCACTCGGGGCAGGAAAACCCTCCCGAGGCTGGGGACTATGGCTGCTGCTCCTGCGCCCGAGCGAAACGTGGTGTCTGCAGGGACCCGCTGGTGTGACGGAGCTCAGGCCGGGGAGGCGCCACGAGAGGCTCGCGAGCTGCGAGAACTTGGAGCTCCCCTTCTCTTTCCAGCCTGGGAAAGTGGGAATGGGCGGCTGTGTCGGCGCGGGGACTCTGGGGGAACAGTGCTGTGTGTGGCTGGAACCGGGGACTGGGTAAGTGCGGTAGAGGCCTAGGCTGCAGCGCTGAGCGCGGGCGGGCTGTCGAACGAGCCCCGAGCCGCCTCACCCTGCGCACCAGGCGCTTCTGGCGCACCTCAGACCTGTCATCCGTCTCGCCAGCCCCCGCACGGCCGCGCCGCAGCGATGGGGCGAGCCAGCGCGGCTCCTGGCCCGGTGCTGTGTGCTAGGGTGCCTAGCCGGAGTGCTGGAGTCGGAGTTCATCCGGGCCCTGCTTATGGCCGGCTTGGTGGAGTTAATGAATCACCCCCCGACGCTCACTACGAGGAATGTGTGCAACCCCGCTGAGCCCCCCTACCCAGGCCTTTGGTGGGCACCTTGAGGCTTTCAAGCCTCAGAACCAAGACAAAGCTAGAGGAGGTGCCTGCCACCCAAAGGGGAGGCCACTTTGTGTTCCCAACCATCTTCTAGTCTGATCTGCTGGAAGGATGAAAGGGGAAGTTACTTGCCTCATTTAAACTTTGTTGGCCACAACTTCAGTGGCTACTTCCTGCTTCCACTATCCCACTTTGGACCTAGGCTAAGTAGGATGGGGAGCACTGGCTAGACTTTGAGGCCACCATGACACGTGTGTGCAGGGGGATCCTTGTTGGCAGCTGTGGCTGGGGAGGGGAGAGGGTGTCAGGCTTCCTCCAGCAGGGGGAGCTGGGCCTTGGAAGCCTGGGTTGTTCTGTCCCTGAAGCTTTAGGACTTAAAGAAGGTCTGGGGAAGATGGAAGATTGTGACTGTGATTCCAACCTTAGGGCCTTATCTAAGGGGATGAAAGCGCTGGTCTTATTCCAGAGCCGCTCAGGGAAATTGTGGCACATGGCATCAGAGAAATGCACCGTTTCCACAGGGTTAGATGGCTCCAGGACCAAAGAGACAGCCCTTCCGTTGAGGACTTACGGGTCCTTTCTTTCTTGCTGCTCTGCCCAGTGAATAATAAGGGTGTAAACATTCAATTACTGTGATAAACTATCTCATTGCATGGCCCCTGTCCAGTCTCCATTCTAATTGGATTGGCCTCTGGCTGATTTCTCTGGTCTGTAGCTCCCAGGGTCAAGGGGTGAAGAACCCCCAGGTTTACAGCTTGCTCTGGGACAGCCTGCCAGCTGCTATATGGCAGCTCCAAGCACCAGGCAGAACCCCTACTCCTCATTTCAGGAAAGAGTGCCCTTGGAGTGCCCAGAAGGATGAGAGTTTAACTTTTAAACATGAGATTTAAAAATAGCCCTAGTGTTTGATGCTGGGATGCTGCTTTTAATAAGCAGAAGGAGAGAAAAAGGCAACATGCAGTTGTAGATGCAGTTGAGGACTGCCCATGGCTGGAAACCCAGGGAAAGGCTACTTATTGGAGCTAAGACCCCTGGAAGAAGATGGGGATGGGAAGCAGATGGTGAATGCACCCAACTAGTGTCCTGTAGGCCCGGAGGATAGATCTTGGGCCTTAATAGCCCCTTTTCTGCAGTTAGGTTTCCCAAAAGAAAAGCTTGCTCATGCTGGCTTGAGGGTGGGAACATAAGTAGCTAGGAGACTCCTGCTTCTCCTTTGAGTCCTGTTTCAAATGTCACTGCTGAAGACCTTTGCCTTCTGAACACTCATTATTTGCGCACATACTGTAGTGTCAGAAACAGACTCTCCTTCATAGAGTTTCTGTCAGGACTCTGAATTAATATAAGTAAAACATAGCTTCTGCTCAAGTGGAAGCTCAATGTTGTTTCCACGATGCCTGGCATCCAGTGAGAGTTTAGTATGTGTTAGTTAAATGAGTGAAATATCTCTATCAAAAAAACATGCACCTGCCAAGGTTAGTGGTACAGCTGTCAAGTCCCAGATACTTGGGAGGCTGAGATGGAGGATTACTTGAGTTTATGAATTCAAGGCTATACTGGGTGGGCTATGTGGTCTCTGTCTTAAAAAGAAAAAAGAAGGGAAAGAAGGCATGGTGGTACATGTCTTTAATCCCAGCACTCAGGAGGCCAAGGCTTGGGGATCTCTGTAAGATCAAGGCCAGCCTGGTCTATATAGAGAGTTCCAGGCCAGCTAGGGCTATAGGGAGAGCTTGTTTCAAAAAGATCAAGAAAAAGAAAGAAGGAATTGGCATGTGGAGGGCCCAATGAATCCCTGCTTTGCTGGAGGGACCTTAACACACTGCATCATTAGTTTCAAAAGGATCAGTCCACCATGAATGATTCTGGTGTTGGTAAACTGGTTCCCTGGCACTACTCTGCATTTGGCCTTCTAGATCCTGTGTCTTAGTCATCCTGACCCCAAGGGGACCACAGCATGAGAGTGTAGAGCCTCCTGCCTGGAGATCTGCTAAGCTGGCCATTTCCTTTGGCCATGCCAGGTTGTTACCCTTACTGTGTGTGTGTATAAGTACCAGTGCAGGGACAGCTGGGGCCTCGATTCTCTCTCAACTCACTGCAAGCTGCAGGAGAGTGGTGGCTTTTCCTTGGAGGGATTGCTTCTGTACATCACAACTCTGTGGGACTAAAGAAAATTGTACCCTGGGCTGGGGCCAGGAATGCCGAAATCCCCAGCTCTTAGTGAGGGATCACATTTGCATTCAAAGCAACATTTAGGACATGGTAAGACTGTGAGCTCATTTTATGAATCAGAAGCATTACAGCATAACTTCAGTGTTGGAGACTGCTCTTTGGAATCTAGATCACCCTTCCTCCACCCCTACCTGAATGTACACTTCCCTGGGCTCTCACTGTTGCAAACTTGGGAGCCATAACAGTTAGTGAGGAGCATCAATTCAAATTCCAGAGCTATCAAGCAAAACTCATCCACACCCACTTCCGCCTCCACTCTGGAATACCATTCCTGGATGGTGTGTGGACAGACACCCTGGCAGTGACTAAAGGAAGCCTGGTGGGTGCATGGGAATGACCCCTGGGCAGACTCAGGTTCATTCTCCAGCTTTTCCACCTGCAGTGTGTCTTTGGGCATTGCTTAATTTCCTGAGCCTCAGTTTTCCCTCCGTAAACTGGAGAGGACAATAGTACTTTGTTCTGTTACTATAAAGGTTAAAGAAGATTATGCATGCAAAGTGATGGGCAGATGGTAAGTAGGTTTGCAACTGATGCTAGCTGTCCATTCACTAGGATCAGGTCCAGCTCTTGTTTGCCTTTTGCTCCCACTGGGGAGGAGGAAATGTAGGGTGTCCTGATTGTGGTAGAAATGCAGTGTCCTGGCTTGTTTAAATGAAGCTTATTTTCTAAATCCTTAGGCTCTAGGTTATAGCTATGTGATCTACTCACAGCTGGAAGAGCCCAGCCTTGTGTAAGGGACTCTGTCCCTGGAGGAGACAGCCTCCCAGAGGTCACATTGTGCTCTGTGGAACCTACCCTCCAAGGCCTCAGGCCAAACAACTTAGTGGGTAGAGATGCTTTCTCAGCCTCTGAAAAAAGTTCCCTTGTTTTTTCCCACCTTAATCCTGTCTGTGTGACCTGGATGGAGGTTTGGGTGGAGCTAGGATGGGGGTGGTCCCACTGAAGAACCCTTTGGCTGGTTTACCAACTTAACTAGGAGCAGAGGTGAGGGGAATCACCAAGTTAAGTGAATTGGAAGAAAACTGCCACACATCAGGAAGAGCTGGAGTTTGGCTAGGTGGGGGTGAGGGTCTCCCCAAGAGAGCCGGTTGCTATTTGTGAGGTCTTGGGGAGAGAACCAGGACTAGAGGCCTGAGGCTTCCCTGGCAGCTGTTGCTTTTGCTCTTCCTGGAATGGTGCCTGGTGCTGCGGCCAGCCTGGGAAGGTGCTCCCTGTTCCCTTTGCCTTTCTCCCAGCCCAGGGAGCTCATGGTGAGAGTTGCTTTTTCCACGAACTGCTTCTTCCTCCAAGTCTCAGAGAGGGGGAGGGGATCAGCCAGGGTGAAATCTGTCCACCAGAACTTGGAGAGAGGAAGTATACTAGGCTTGCAGCCAGATGGGGATTCCCTCAGGCCATCTAGATTCTTTGGGGGAGATGGGCTCCAGAGAAGGAGCATGTGAGGAGTTTTGGTCCTCTGCTTTTCCTAATAGGTAGGCAGATGCCCAGGTCCAGCCCACTGTAGCCAAAACTTGCCAGTTTGTAAGAGAAGGTCACTAGAGCTCAAAAAGGTACTGAAGTGGTAACCTGCCGCCCTACAGTACAGATGGGCCTGTGCCTTAAACTCCTCCCAGCCTCTGGCAGCTTCTCCTCACCTGACCTTGCTGGGTTAAGGCCTCAACGGGCTGTAGTTCAGAGTCCTGAACTACCCGGCTTTGGAGAGTCATTCTAGAACTGGGGAACATTTAGCCAAACTCTTTCCCTAACACATAGGGAGGCTAAGAGGCCATGAGTTGCTTGGGGTTGCCCTAGCCAGCTCCATTTTCACCCTGGGTGGGTGGGAAGAGGGGCTGTGCCTTCATCCTGTGTCTTCCCCAGGGTCGCTGCCCCTCCCAGTTTGGAAGTAGTAAGGGCTGACTGCCATGCAGGAAGAGCCCGGAGGAATACTGTCTGGGCTCCTGGGTGTGGCTCAGCCCTCCCCTGGCTCCATAGCTATTTATTTGGCTGTGTGTGTGTGTGTGTGTGTTTTCTGTGGTTGGGAAGCTGGATCTGAGAGAAAGCAGAAGTACCCATGGTATGCTACACACCACACACATGTGGTCTGACATGAACAGGTAGGAGAGGAAGAGAAGGGACAAAGGCCCCACTCCACCGTGGCTGCTGGTGCCTTCTGTCCCTGCCACAGACTTGCACGCTTGAGCATAAACGGCCCTTCCATGTAGCTAGCAGCCTTTCCTTGCTGGCTCTGGACAGAAATGCCAAAAATAACCAGGCGAGCACTTCCACTTGTGGGACTGTCTGTCGTGGCCTCTGGGCAGGCTTGCTTATTTTCTTCTGCAGGCCTAACAGCTGCTATCCATCCTTACTCCTTCCTGTAGCCACCCTTCAAAAGCTCTTTCAGTCCATGGTGCCTTCCTTTTTATTACTCTTCTGGCCCAGGAGGGTGGTGGTTCATCT